CCTACTTTGTTTGAGTGGTTTAAATAAATTTTTACATTCAGTTCATTTTACACATTTTAACAAATTTAAGATTTTACACACTGTCATTTAAACATTTGAACTTATTAAACTAGTTCATTAAACCAAATTTGATGTGTTTTATGTCTTTAAAACGTCTCTGGAGTTCATTATAAATTGCTGCATGCTGGGTTATCTGGATCATAAACTGTCTCTGGGTCTGAACTGAACCTTTTCTTTATATCTAAACAAAGAACAAAACACATCAGAATAAATGAAACCCAAACAGAAAGTAAAATATGTCAGTTTAAGACACAACATGATGACACTCGCACACATCCTGTGGAGTCTGCTCCATAATCCAGAGGAAACAGAGTCCTCTGCTGCAGACATCATGTATTATACAGGTGTTCAGACTGAATCCTCCTCCTTACTGTGGGTTTTCTTACATTTATATCTCCTTATCAGGATAAAATAAAAATGAACAAATTTCAATTTGTCAATGACACCATTGTTAATGAAAATCTCTGCAGCAATCACTCAATAATATGGCCAACACATTRGGTTTAGCTTTTTATTTTATTTGACATCATCGGTTGAAACTTTATCCACATTAATATTTTTTGAAGTTTAACAGACAAGATCTAAATAAAACACAACTATTGTGGGGAAAAAACACTCAAAGGAACTGGGTGAGGCTGTAAAAAGTTTCAACAAAACAAAGGAAAGACAGCAAGAAATATTGACAAAAATAAAATACAACACAAAATAAGGTATAAAATATTTAAACAGCAAAATAATCTACAAATAAAAACCTACAAGTAGGGGTGTAACAACACATTGATCCACATTGAAATATCAAACAGTTGATTCAATTTAAATCAATCCATATCGTTACTATAGTATGTCCATCTAACACAATCATTCAKGTTAGATGGACATATGGTGTCACATTTTATTAATCGCAGACTTGTGAACAGAACTGACTCAAAATCATGACAGACTTTGTGGTGTCAGGAAATAAAGTTTCATCCAAACTAATCCATGTATTATATCGTGATAAATCTGGTGATTTACACCCGTCTATRAGGTTATGAATTTAGACAAGTTTAGAGATTTTAGATGGTTTTCCAAAGTTTTACATAGTTCAATCTAATCTTCAGGAGTTTCTATACAGCATCACTGAGTGAGTTTTCAGACACTAAAATCTTTTATTGTTTCTTAATTTGTGTGTGTGTGTGTGTGTGTGTGTGTGTGTGTGTGTGTGTGTGTGTGTGTGTGTGTGTGTGTGTGTGTGTGT